GGCAATAAGAGGTCATTGAATCCCCTAGAACTGGAGACCTGGGTCTTGTGCAAGAACACAGAGCCCTCTCTTCAGCCTGTAGAGGAAATCATCCTCTATGCGGACCTGCTGGGTAAAGCCACGAGGAACCCGAGAACGGGCTCCCACATGACTCCAGTTGCAAGGGTCTGCCACCCTCTTCTGTCTGCCTTGAGCAGCAGGCGTGCAGGTAATGCACAGACATACAGCATGTAAAATAAATTTCAGCTCCCCACCTCTCTGTTTTTCAAATAAAATGTTAATCATTTGTTATATTGATGTTAGGTTTGTGGGTAGCTTTTAATTTCCTCATTTGTGTCTTTACACTTAATACATTTGTCATATGATATTTGGTGAACAGAAATATCAATTTTAGAATTAATACTCCTCAGTTCATGTGAATGTCCCTGATGGCTTACCCCGACTCAGAGCACTCCTGGAGGGAAGGGCTCCCTCTGCTGTGCTGCTGCTGCTAAGGAGGCAGCTGCAAATACACCTCCACCCTTTCAGCTTCCAGTTCTGCCTCCTGCTGCCTCCAAGCCACAGGACCTGATGGGAAGGAAAATGGTTTGCACTTCCTGAGTGCGGCTAAATGCCAGGCTTTGGGTTGGGTGCTTTGCATTGAATTTTCACCCCACACTGTAGAGCACGGTAGGGAACTTACCAGGGTCTCCTGGCTGGCTGGTGGGCGACAGATGGAGCACTTGAGCCAAGGGGCTTGGACTTGGACACTTCATGTTCCTGTCCTCAGCCACAGCGGTGACACAGCATGTGGCTGAGAGCTTGTCTTTAAGGCAGAACACAGAAGAAACCTGGGACTGATTACATTAAAGTCATAAGTGTCTGACCAATGTGGTCTCTTTTCACGTTTTTTGTGTGTCTATGTGGGCATAATGTATACATGTAAGTGCATGTGTATATGGAAGCCGGAAGTTGATGTCTGGTGTCATCTTCTATTGTTCTGCATCTTATTTATTTATATTCTTAACTTAAAATTGTATTTATTTATGAAGGACACCATTGTATCAGGCACATCCAATAGAGGATTAGTATCTAAAATATAAAAAGAACTAAAAGAAAAAAAAAGTAAGAAAACAGAAAAAGAAAAAAAAAAAACCTGGGCACCAAGAAAACAAATTTTAAAATGGGATGCAGAACTAAGCAGAGAGTTCTCAAAAAATGAAACACAAATGGATGAGAAATACTTAAAAGAAATGTTCGGCCAGGTGGTGGTGGTGGTGGTGGTGGTGGTGCACACTTTTAATCCCAGCACTCCACAGACAGAGGCAGGTGTATCTCTATGAGTTCAAGGACAAGCTGTTCTACAGAGCAAGTTCTAGGACAGCCTGAGCTACACAGAGAAGCCCCGTTTCAAAAACCAAGAACCAAAACCAAAACAAACAAGCAAAAGAAATGTTTAACATCAGGGAAATGAAAATCAAAACTAATC